TGGCAATGAGAAACAATGAAATCTGGCCATGTGTAGCAACATGGATGGACCTTGAGGGTGTTATGCTGAGCGAAATAAGTCAGGCAGAGAAGGACAAATATCATATGTTTGCACGTATAGGAGGATTAGGAGGAACTTGACGGAGGAACAAGGGGGAGAAGAAGGGCGGAAATGGTGGGGGAAAGGGAGAGAGGCAAACCATGAGAGACTCTTGAATGCTGACAAAAACTGAGGACTGATGGATGTGGGGGGCAGGAGGGATGGGCATGGAGGAGGGCACTTGTGGGGATGAGCACTGAGTGTTATGTGGAAACTAATTTGACAGTAAACTATTTGTAAAAAAAAAAATAGATCGTAACTAGTTTTCTTAAAACAATGTGTAACTAAAGGTGACTCCAGAAGTGCTTGAGGACCTAACTGGCCCAATGGGAGGAATTCAGAAACATACGAATAGGGGCTCAGGCAGCCCCCAGGTGCATTCTTTTTCACTTATGAAGAAGATGATTCTAAAACCAAGTAACTGGTTGTAGCATGTAGAGATTTTTGTTTAGCACAGCAAGCAAGCAGCAGAATCATTAATCTCAATTATCAATATTAGTAGGAAAAATAACAGGTGAGGATCATCTCAGGAATATAATAGTGGTTTGGTCTTAATAAATCTATTAACATAATACAAATACTAGAGCAAAGGAGAAAATCTTCTGATCATCTCCATAGATACTGAGAGGCTGTGACAAAAATCTAACTTCCCCAGAAAGCCTTAATAGTTTGAGAATACATGGATACTATTTTTTATTATGACAAGGAAAATACATGTCTTCATACAAGTTGAATGGTGAGACATTGGACCATCCCATTAACGTCAGGAACAAGATAAGTATGCCATCTGAATCATTATTATTTGACATTGTTCTCAAATGCAGTTGCCTAAGAGAAAGAAATAAGGGAAATTATTGGAAAAGAGAAGGCAAAAGAGAATATTGGAAACAGTAAAAATTACAATTAAAGTGGTTGATTATGACATTAATATATAAAATCAACTACATTCCTATATATCCAGTTAGCAAATAAAATGGAAGAAATCATTCCATTGAAAATGGTACCTAAATGATAAAATATCCAGAAATAAACAAGACATTCATAGCCCTATCTGAACAAAACCATAAAAATTTACCAAGTGGCATAAAATTAGATTGAATACAAGCCTAGATTGTAGCAATCTTTTTTTTTTTAATGTTGAGGATTACTTTATTTATTTATTTTTAAATAGTTTATTGTTAAGTTGGTTTCCACGTAACACCCAGTGCTCATCCCAACATGTGCCCTCCTCCTTGCCCATCACCTCCCTTCCCCTCCTCCCCACCCCCATTAGCCCTCAGTTTGTTCTCAGCATTCAGGAGTCTCTCATGGTTTGCCTCCCTCCCTCTTGCCAACTATTTTTCCCCTTCTCCAGCAGTCTTGAATAGGAGGACTAAATCTATAAAACCATTGTGACCTTAATTTAAAAAAAATGTGTGTATGTTGGAGAGAGGAACAGGGTTGGAGAAGACAGAGGGAGGGAGATAGAGAGGGAGAGAGGAAGGGAGAGTGACGAAGGGTAGAGGGGATAGTTGTCTTGAAAATATTAATTTTAATATGAATATTTGATATTAATATGAATGAAACTTCAGATTTGAAAGGCATTCTTAGAGAGACAAATGATAAGTAGAAATAGCCCAAAACACTTGGAAGAACTTAGTTTACAAATGAGGTGGCATTTTTATTAAAATGGGGAAAAGACTAACTGTATTACAGAGATACACCATTATATATTTTGTTGGCACAACTGACTAACCATTTGGAGAGAAAACAAATGCATTTATTTTTACCTTCATTTTCTGTAATAAATGAATTCCAGGGAGTAAGACTATGTAAAGGTAAACAAATAAAACCATAAGAATTTAGAGGAAAATATGAGTAAATTTATTTATAATCTCAGAATGGGGAAGGCCTTTTAAAACTGGAAACAAACCCCAGGATCTACTGAGGCAATATGGATAAATTGACAACATAAAACTTAAAACTTTATATATGCTAAGAAATAAATCAATAATAACATCAAAACACAAATAATAAACAAATAAAAATGTTTTCTAAACAAATAAAAATAGTCTCAAGACATAAGACAAAAAAGTTCCAAGGTACACAGGCAAATTAAGAAAAAGCCAAATAACCCAACTGAAAATTGTATAAAGGACATAAATTTACAAAATTGAAATTTCCAAAAACGTATCTGAAAAGGTACTCCATTCATAATAAAATGAACCAAGTCAGAATAACATCGTAATATAATTTGTCACCAGATTAGAAAAAAATATTGTTTGATGATACTCAGTGTTGAGAAAACTGAGAAATTGGTCTTTTCATTACACTCTTGGTAGGTGTATCCATTGATCGGTATTTGGAGGGTAATCTGGCAATACCTACTAAAATGTTAAATGCACATATCCTTAAATTCAGCAATTCCATTTCCAATTTAGAATTTACACCAAGGTATAGTCACAAAAGTATGCTAAGATATAAATCAAGGATGTTAATTACAGATTTTTGTATAAAAATAAAAACTGGAAATACTCTATATGTTCACTAATAGACTAACGAAAGAAATTATATCCACCAAGACAATGGTATGCTAAGCAGCTATTAAGAAGAATGAGGTAGATCTTTATATGTTGTTATGGAAAGATAAAACACTAAGTGCAGAAAGCAAAGTGCAGAGTGCTGTGTGCATAGCATGAATGGTAAAAAAAAAAAAAAAAAAAAAAAGGGAGTCTCTTTCCACACCCCTTTTCTCCTTCTCTTGGCCTCCTTCCCTTTCTTTTTCTTCCTTTCTGGAAATACCTCCTAGTCATCAGAAGCTCATTCATTGGTGGTCCCTGTAGCTATTCATCCTTTTTCTCTTTTCTTTTTCTTTTCACTACATGTGCATCTTTCCTTATTATTACTTTTAAAATGGCAGAGTATTATTTGGGTGGTCAACATATAAACTACTTTTGTTTGCTGTTTTATGTTTTTCTGTATAAAATACAAAACCAAAAGTTTTTTTCCAACCAAAACTGTTGTAGGCATTAATTTTCAGATAGCAGTAACAAATAAAGCATTCCCTTTAGGTATCAAAACACCTCTACTTATTTCTAAAATTGAAAAAATAAACACAAAAAGAAAAGTTTGTGCATTGTTCATCTATCCCATGTAGAATGGGTGAACTCTGAGAACAGCCATGCTCCCAATGGCGTGATGCTGGGATGTCCTTATTTATCAACCTCCTTGTGAACAAGGTGTCCTCTCTGCAGCTGCACTCAGTGCTTATGTGCCCACACACACAGAGCATGCACAAGCCTCCATATTCCTCAGTGCAAACCAATCCATGCACATTACCCAGGAATGAGTGAAATCAATGGCTGAAGAAAGGTATGCAATTTCTTTTGCTCTGAAAATCTAATCTTTTCTCATAATAACATATACCCATCTCAGGGGTTAGAAGAAAATTAAAGATCCCCAGGAGCTCAAAGCCTTCTGCAGTTTTGAGCTCTGAGCAGTTACTAAATGAAACAATAGAAAAGGAGAGATTCTGTCATGTCTCCCTCTGCTGTCATTAAAAAAATAAGGAGAATGGGAAGAGGCAAAGTGACTATTATGGCCTGGATAATGTAGGTGGAGAACCGTGTCACCACATAGGTTTAAAATTAAAGTTTTCCTGGCTTTCAAAACACTTATCTCCAGTGAATTCACCTGTTCAAGCCACCTTTCTGGGCTAACATTGGGGTAGATGAGCTGTGGGGAAGCAGGTCCCTAAAAGCCAGAGACTAGAGTTACAGGTTGTACAGCCACTTTTAGTCTGCTGGCCCCTTCTGCTGACTTCCATTAGCCTTTCATCCAGGAAGGCCACTGGCCACATCATCGCCTTCCCAGTTTATGCCTTACAGGGAACCAGAAGATGTCCCAGACCCTGCCCCTGGTCTTGACACATAAAGAAAAGCTTAGCATATTTTCACTTTATGTTGTGCATCTGTATGGACCCACAAGTTTCTAATACTAATCAACTCTAGTACATGTGGAATATCTAATACATTATTTAAAAAAAAACATAGCTGGTTTAATTTAACTTTAGCTATTACACTGGGCTAGTAATTCTATTAGAACTCTATTTGTCCTTTGGGTGTTTCAGAATAGAGTAGACTCAACTCCCCAGTATCTGGGGGCAGCCCAGAAAATGTGAGGCACCCAGGAGCTATACAATCTCCCTGACTTGCCTGGGTCTAGTCCTAATTTGGAATCAACACACATATGTGTCTGTCCTAATTCCCTCCACAGGGTAGACTGGTAGGACTCAGGCTGGTAAAAGCATAATTTATAAGAGCAACTATGCATCTCTCTCTCTTTCTTTTAAAATGTAAGAACTGTATAAAACTGTTTCTCTCTACCAACTGTCTTTGGTAGAGAAAAATAAAATCTGAATTGCAGAAAACACCAGCAGTTAGGTTTTTAGTTTTAGTTTTGTTTCCTTTGACCAATTGTTTGACTGGATCTAGTGAGTGTAGCTTATTATTATTATTTTCAATCTAGGTTTGTTAACAGGCAAAAGTATATGTTGACTTTTCATGTAGGCTTTCTTGGCAAGTGACATGCAGGCATGCAAAACCAGCTATACAGGCTTCCCCTGGCAGTCCTGAGCCACTTTGACCTCTCTGAAGGGCTCACCTGGCACTGGGGAATAGACAAGACGACCTCTCAGTGGTCCTGGGGACCCTAAGGATGTTCCAACGATATCAAGGAGCCTCTGAGAGGATGAAACAAAAACGTGCTGAGATCCTGTTACTGAACGGTACAAGGAGACTGTAACGACATGACTGACAGCTACGGGTACATCAGTGTCCTCACGTTTAGTGTGACTGTAGGATTAGCACCCCAAATTCTCCCCAAGCTAATGGCATCGCCTGTTTGTGCATTTCCTACATGGTGGAGACCAGAACCAGGTTAAGCAAAGTCTTTGGACACAGCTTCCACGAAGTTTGGGGCGGACATCAGGATGCCGATGGTGCAGATGATGGTGAAGACTGAGAAGGCCATGAGACACAGGCGGTCCACCACGCAGGCAGCAAACTTCCACTCACTGCAGATGGCCTCACTCTCGTCCTGGCAGCGGAAACGGTTGGCGATGTAGCGGACCTCCTCCAAGATCTTGGCCAGGTCTGGGTCCCCCTCAGGGGGTTGCCCACCATGCAGAAGCTGCTCATCGTGCGTGGGGGAGCAGGCCATGCGGCCGCACACGACGCCCGAGTCGGGGGTGGGGGCACAGTGCACACCGTCCAGGCCGCGGAAGCCGATGTAGAGCAGGTTGCCGTTGGTGGTCGGCGGCCCGGTCACCGCGCTCATCTCCACGCTGGCCAGGCTGCAGCGGCGCGGCTTGTGCTGGCAGGCCGGCCGCACCTTGTCCTCCCCAGGCCTCTTCATGCGGAGGAACCATGCACACCAGTTCAGAAGGATGACTCTGGTCTGGGGAGACAATCGAGCAGTTAGCAGGGTGGGCAGTGGACCTCAGCTGATCCTGACACCCCAGCCCTACTTGGTGGACCCCAGGAGTGACAGGCCCCGCTCCTTCCCGGGTGAGTTACCACAGGCAGGTAGTGAAGCCATTCCATGCCTTACAATGGTTGAGTCGAATGTTAGCCTAGAATAAACCAATGCAGAAAGTCCACCTGGGATGGAGTGGCGTTCTTACAGCAATCTCAGGACAGACAAGCAGGTGAGAGGTGAGGATTATTTTAGGAGAGCCCTGACTGAGTTGTGCGAACAAGACCAGTCATTTTCCCTCTCCAATCGTTCCTCAACTGTAACTCGCAGCCATCATACCTACCTGCCTGTGAGGCACCCTAGTGTCCCATGGCATGCCCCTGGAGCTTTTAAAATTTTTTTCAAGGCAACCTTGTGACACCTATCAGATGCTGCATGAATGCCTAACTTGAACCAGTTCAGACTGGTATATCAGATCTCTTGCAATGATGACATATCATTGAAAAGCAGGTTTTTGTTGTCCTGATGAAAAGCAAGTGCCAAGAAAGTCAACATGGGACAGTAAATGAGGGTAGTGTGCCCGTAAGATTTGAGAGGTTGTGCTATGACAACAGGTGCTAAGTGGTCAGGACATAAAGTTGTCCTTATTAAGTTGTTTTGAAGGATGTAACAGAGAGAACCATTAGGGTATTTGTTTTTCTTTTCTTTTTTTTTCCCCCTGGGGGTTGTGAAAAAAAATCCCTGAGACACTAAAGATGCTGTGAACCAGGGAAGTTTAGGAACCTCTAACCTAATTCATGAGGACACAGTGAAGACTGAGTAACATGATATGTGGAAAAGTACTTGGAAAAGTCTAAAGCAGGGATTGGCAGACTTTATCTTTAAAGGGCCACACAATAAAGTCCATAAGGTCTCCATCACAATTACTAGGCTCTGCTATTAACGTGCAAAAAAAAAGTACATAGAAAGCATGTAAGAAACAAACTTGTTTTTTTCTAATAACATTTTATTTGCAAAAAACAGTTGGTGGGCCAGTTTTGACACCATAGTTTGCTGATCTCTGGTTTAAAGTAATTTATATATTGCCCACATGCATATAAGATGCTAGAGAGAAATCACTGATCTTTCTTGTTTTTCCCTTTAATGAAAATAAGGGACCCATGTGAAGCCTCAATCCAGGTTAAAAAATAAATTCCTAGACAAGTGTGAAAAATGGCCTCTCTCCCTGAAATTATCCTGATATTGATTTTAATTTTGGTTTATGATTGTGGGCGAACTCCATCAGCAACATAGCAGGTATGTTTTCCATCTGTAAGTTTAGGCAGTAAGTTGTCAAGTTCATGCCTGCGGCACTTTCTTGGTAATCGTTTTTATAACATCTTATCAGAGATAACTGCAATAGACTGGTCTGGAGACAGGCAATGAAAGAACAAGAAGGCGTAAGAGCAGGTTCACTGCAGCTGTAAAGATAACCTTGTGTTCATAGCAGATAACACTCTATATATCCTGCCCACACTCTATGGACAAACCTCCAGAGCCTGGAAAGGCCTATTTACAGACCCTGGAGGATTTTCTGTGATCATTAAGAGGCAAGGAACACATGGCCTGACATGTGTCCCTCCATAGGAGGCTCCTAAGACATGCCATTTCACTTGGGCCTCTCAGGGGTTCTGTGAATGGAGTATAATACCCCCATTTTACAGATAAAGAAATGGAAGCTTCAAAGACGCTAATAAATTAGCTCAACGTCACATAGTAAGCAAGTTACTTATGTGTTTAGCCTTCCACAGCCTCATCCATAAAAGGGTCTACAATGTCTTCCTCAAAACACCTGTACCTTCAGTCCACCCTTCATCCCCACTTTGAAGGCACGGGGAAGACTGAACCAGAGCTCAAGGGAGTGCAGTGGGCAATGAATGTGTCCAAACTCAGAGGGAACTGTGCACATGGAGAACTAAGGCCAGGCGTGTGTGTGTGTGTGTGTGTGGTGGAGGTGGTGGAGAGTTGTCTGTGCATACCTTGGGGCACATCTCAAACTAATATGATACACACTGCCAAGTCTACTTTGAATTCCATGGCCTGAATCATTAGCTTTCAAGGCTAAAGCATCTCAAAAGATGAAATTATCCTCTTGGCACTTATCAAACTGTGCTCATGACCTCTTCTAGTAGGTTATGGTTTTGTATCTGGCTGTGCAAATGTCACATAATGCCACTGCACTGGCAGTATCTTCTTCATAGCAACACATCATAATAAAAGTTCCTTGGAGGCTGTTTATGTTCCAAATATACACAGAAAGAAAAATGCATAGCCTATATAAATTGAAAGCAAGACGTATAAGCTCCATATTTCATTTGCAGCCATTGGTTTGGACACACTTATGCTGAGAGATGAATAATTAGCATATGGTCTTAATTTAGATTGGTGGTTCAGTTGGTTAGGCATCTGACTTTGGCTCAGGTCATGATCTTACAGTTTGTGAGTTTGAGCTCCGTGTCAGGCTCTGTGCTGACAGCTAGCTCAGAGCCTGGGGCCTGCTTCAGATTCTGTGTCTCCTTTTCTCTCTGCTCCTCCCCTGCTTATACTCTCTCTCTGTGTCTCAAAAAACAAACAAACATTAAAAAAATTTTAAAGATATTTTTCTGGATACTAAAGTACTACCAGGTCACTAAAAATGGTTTCCTTCATGTCTTAAACGTAAGAAATAATGTCTTTTTAGTTTTACATTTGCAAAATTAAACACTTGAAGGATAATGGAGGAATTAATTAAAATGGCCATCAGTACTGGTGGTGGAGGCAGAGTGAGGGACAGGGAAGAGAGCCAATATCCTTCCGTATGATTTTACTTTTATTTCGACTTGGAGACGCGTAAATGCATTACCTATTTCAAATGGATGGGTGGGTAGACAGGTGTATCAAGGTTATAAAAGTCAGAAGAGAATGTAGGTGAATGTGGACAGATGTGTCCCAGGTTTTAATGGGAAAACAAACCATGACTGCAGTGGTGTGACATGAGTGGGAGATAACACTGTTTTTGGGAGCTCACTCCACTGCTGATGCAATGAGCTATAGGAGAAAGTCTTTGTTAAGTGTAAGAATTTGCTACGGAAAAGAATCTAAGAGGACACAGTAACTTGGTAAAGCCATTTTTAAAGTAGTTTTTCTTAAGTTCATTTTTGGGTAACTGTAAATTAGTGTACCATGAATATTTTTAGAAGGTCTGAAAACTCCCTGTTGCTGGAGGTCACAAAATGTGTCTTACTTCTTGCAGCTGTGTTTAGCAAGCTGGTGAGTCCCAGACTCCTTTCTGAGCTTGGATGCAAGGTTACAGGTCTCCAAAGAAAACAATCTTGTTTTTACATCAGAGGCTCTGTTAGCTCCTGCTGTCCCTAGGCAATACTCTCTGGACAAAAAGACTAGAAGGTTTGCAGAGCCCAAGTAAGCATCTTGGGTGGGGGGAATCCCTCCCCTCCCTTGGGTGTTGTCACACTGTGCTGAGGTGAGGAAAGCCCAGGCCCCATGTGGCCCCAATCAAGGTTCCCTGAGTGTAAGGTGAGTTTCAGAAACTGAACTCCAAAGGAGCACAGCGCATGACTGGGTAAGCATCAGCCCACATCCCAGTGACAAGCAAGTGCTGGGGAGGTGTGTCATGCTCTGGGCTGACACAACAGACTGCTATATTTTATCATTTATTTTTCATCCTTTTGCTTTTATCCTATACTCTCTTCCCACTGGCAACCATTAACCTTTATTTTATAGGCCTGTGGTAAGCTTACATTCCTACATGTATTGGCTACACAGATTATTACGTGGCTCACTCTCTCTTACCCTTTTACTCTTCATTCTGTTTGGAAGATGGCTGTGTGCTTATCTCCTGGATACTTCCAAGCACTGCACAGTTCTCCATAGCGGACATGCAAAAAGTAGCTTTATAAACATTATGGTAGCAAAATGTGCAGAGCAGTCAGTGTGTGAGCCCTCTTCTGGGATGTCCAATTGCAAGAACAGTGCCTTGAGAGCGTAAGACCATGCTCACCGGAACTGTAGTCCACATACAGATCATGCAATAATGCAGATAGGAGAAATATGGCTCTTTGTTTAGGAATTCTGGGCTGTTTGCAAGATTTTTAAGATAGATAAATCATCCCTAGAGTGTCCCTTGGGGAGGGTCATGACTCCTTGTGGTGAAGGGCAGGAGGAACGCACCCACTTGGGCATCTTGCCGCCATCGGGGTCATGGTGGTGATACTGCAGCACAATCACCGTCACAACCACGGAGAGGCCCACGATGATCATGGTGCTGGCAAAGTACTGGGCTGTGGAGACAAGAGACGCAGGGTGAGACCTGGGGCCTCCATTGTACAAGTATCACAGGGTGGAAGGCAGACCCAGATGGCGGTGCCTGACTGCCTCGGGCTGGGTGGTGAAGCCTAGAGCCAGGCAGGGCCACCTCCAGGCCTGCAGATCCTCATTCACATTCTCAGAAGACAGAGGTCATCCCAGAGCACAGAGACCTGCTTTACTGTCCATGCAAGCAGTCTGGTTTACCTAACCGCACTGTTTTGAACTTTGTCCACCGCCTCCTTCAGTGAGGGCTAATAGAACCCCACTGGATGCTGAAAATGTTGTTCCCGGGATAAAGGATGTGGACTTTCATGGAACTGAAAACACCTGGGTGGTGATGGTGTGGTCACCACAGGGATAACTGTAGGCTGTCGATGTGCTGGGGTGAGGACAGACCCAGGGCAAACCTGGGCATCATCAGCTGGATATGAGGCCTGGATACCTAGTATTAGTGGAGAAAATGAGACGGGGTTCCTGCTAGCTCGGTCAGTTAAACATCTGGCTCTTGATTTAGGCTCAGGCCATGATCTCATGATTCATGAGTTCCAGCCCCACATCAGGCTCTGCACTGACAGCATGGAGCCAGCTTGGGATTCTCTCTGTCCCTCTCTCTCTGCCCCTCCCCTGCTCACTTGCTTTCTCTCTCTCTCAAAATAAACAAAGAAACAAACATCTAAAAACAAAAACGTGAAGAAAATGAGTCTGGCCCCATTTAATGAGAGATAGGAGGAGGTGCCAGTTGTGTGAGGAAGACATGGAAGGCAGTGACTTTCCAGGAGAACCTTAGCTTCAGCTCCAGTGGGCAAGGATGCATTTCTCCATCTTGGCCCTGAGAAGGAGCAGTATAGAGCATCCAAACCAGCCCTCTCCCAACCCCCTGTCCCCATCCAGTGGCTTCCATCTGTGAGTTTACACAGGCTACTCAGCCTGTCTGGGATTCAGGTTCTTCACCAGTATAACAGGGATAGTAATGCCTTCTTAGCAGGGTTGATGCAGGAATTAGCAATCATATGAGCCCAGAATCTAGAAGAAATTCTGACACAGGGAAGACATTCCTTGAGTGTCAACTCTTATTATTAAAACTTTGGTGTGGCTTTCAGCTCAAGAGGTGTGAGGTCTAAGCAAAAGACATTCTGGGGCAAAAGCTAAGAGCACAGCCATACAGCTGGTTAAGAACACTTCCTTCTCTCTAGGCAGGAAAGAACTCACTGCCCCACTGTGGGGGCTTAGAGGTGCCTTGGTGAGGAGTTGCCAAAAATAGACATTTGAGGCTTAAAGTTAGCACCAGGAATTTCTAAGAAGGAGAAGGGTAGTAAACAAAGCTCTTGCTGGTGTGGGCTGAATTGTGGCCTCCTTAAATTTATATGTGGAAGCTCTACCCCTAGTTCCTCAGATTGTGACTCTATTTGAAGACCAGCCTTTAAAGAGGTGATTAAGAGGGGCACCTGGGTGGCTCAGTTGGTTGAGCTTCCAACTTCAGCTGAGGTCACGATCTCACAGTTTGTGGGTTTGAGCCTCACGTCGGGCTCTGTGCTGGCAGCTAGCTCAGAGCCTGGAGCCTGTTTCAGATTCTGTGTCTCCCTCTGTCTCTGACCCTGCCCTTCTCTCTCTCTCTCTCTCATAAATAAATAAAAACATTAAAAATTAAAAAAAATAAAGAGGTGATTAAGTTAAAATGTGGTCCTTAGAGTGAGATCTGATCCAATATGACTGGTGTCCTTATAAGAAGGGGAAATTTGGACACACAAAGGGGTACCACGGATGCACCCAGAGAGGAAAGACCAATATGAGGACACAGCAAGATGGGAGTTATCTGCAAGTCAACCAGAGGCTTCAGAAGATCTCAAACCTGCTAGCACCTTGAGCTTGGTCTTCCAAGAACTGTAAGCAAATATATTTCTGTTGTATAGGCCGTCCAGTCTCTGAAATTTTATTGTGGCATTTCTAGAAGACTAATACAATGACCTGTGGAAGTATCTGGGGTCAAAGGATCCCACAGATGAAATCTCAACAACAGAGATCAGAAGTCAACAGCATCCCATCTTTCTAGACATAGGCTATGCATCATCCATGGCTTTTCCCCATTTGGTTCATTGGTCAAGGCAGGGTCTGCCAACTGCCTCCCATGGAGTGCTTTCTGCTGAAAGTGTCTATTGAAAGTATTGTGTTGGAAGGTAGAAAGAATGGAGTCAGACCCTCAAGTTGAAACATGTTTCCTTGCTCTCTGGATGGTACTGAGAGAAATAGGAACACTCACAAAGGCTTTTCATACCAACAATTTATCTTTCTGGCCAAACTATTACACATTAAGGGAACTCCACAAGGATGAACCTTGGGTTTTTAGTTCATGAAGCCTGGAAGTATCCATATAAGCTCCCCTACTCCTGTCCTTCCTAACTAACCACACAGGGAGGCCCTCAGGTGGCACGGGTCAACAGAAATAATCATAGACTCCATTCCTGTTTCTGATCTCCATCACCAAACTGGGATTCTCATATTAAGCCTAATATCCACTGTCAGAATGTTTGCTTCCCATTATCAAAACTGGCTTGGAGGTCTGAGTCACCCCTGACCAGGAATAGAACTCTGGCTGCAGTGGCAAGCCAATCCTAACCACTAGATCACTGAGCACCCCTTTACATGTTTTTATTTATTCCAATCCAGGGAGGGGTGTAGCAACAAGAGATTCTAGCTTCTATTTCTGTCATCCTGCCCTAGGCAGAAGGTCATGCCTTACATCTGTCTTGGCTAAAATAGAAATATATTTGTCCATTTTACATTTCCTCACAAGCTTTAACTTTATACAGAGACATTAAGGTATCTCAGGAAGCAATGGCTAAGAGTTAAAATGTGAGCTCATCACATGTTGACAAGAAATTTCTGGAAAAACAATGACTCAAGGTAAAGTAACAAATCTCTAATGGCAAAATATCTGGCTGCCTAACAAACGTGAGGGGAAGAACTATGGAAGGATGGATGCATTTCTGGACCTTCAAGCCAAACAAAGCTAGACTCCCCACACTCCCCTTACATGTGCCCAGGTGAACAAAATGGGTCACTGATTAGTTATAGCAAGTTACTCCTTATGGCAAAGAGGGGACTAGGTGGCTCTTAAGGACACAGAGGACAGGTTTATGTTCTGTTCCTGTGCGAGGAAATTCAGGGCACTCTCTATGAGCCTATGTCTTCAAGAGAGGCCCAACACTTGCTTACCTATCAAGGGTACCGAGTCAGATGTTGCAGGCATGATCTCGGCTACCAGCAACATGAAGACAGTAAGAGAGAGTAAAACTGTTATCCCTGAAACATAAACACAGTGGTTCTTGAGACAGAACAGATTTTAAGGCCTCAATTCTGCTTAACTGTGCCTAACCTGACATTCAAAGAACTAGAGGGGTATGAGGGAGGAGTCAGTGACATCCTGAAATCAGATGCAGGATTCTCTGTACATATAAGCATGGCCATTTTTTCTGGGGATCTCACATCATTTACCAGAGTCCTAGATAGAGATAAGTTTAGGAGCCAGAATTTTAGAACAACAATACAAAATGAACTACTGAATTCAACACATGTCTCATTTTCTTTATTGTATTAGGATCGAGAGGTAGCTTCATATAGCAGGAAAAAAAAAACCAAAAACATGAAAATCAAAGATCTGGCTTTTGGTCTTGACTTTGCTATTTACTCGAATAAGTCACTTAACATATTTGAGCCTTGCACTTAATATATGGGTTTGAGGATGATTTTCTACATTTACTAAGTATGATCTTTGGTGACTCTTTAAGATGTTGAGAAATTCATTTAACCTTCCAATTCTTAGTTTTCTTATCTTTGAATTGAATCTAAGGAACCACCCTATGTAGGAAATATACAGATGCAAACTGGTACTAAACTGTTTTCTGTCCATAACAAATGCTGTTGAGCTGCCACCAAGGAACAGGATGGGGTGGCAGGAGAGGAGAAAGCAAAGTCCCTCAGGACAGAACCCAGTAGTCTCTTCATGGGCATTTCCATCTTCTATGTAAGATCATAGGATCCTATGGATTTTCAAGAGGGCATGGGCATCCAGCATGGAGCCTAGATCAGGAGCCTGTGACGTTGGGGAGACGCCTGAGCTGGCAGATCAGTGTGTAATGCACCAATAAGGCTCTGCAACATCTCTGCATCCAGAGCTGCAACACATCCTGCACTGTTCATAGTGATCCCTACAGTGCTTACCTGGAGGCCAGGACTCCCGTCCTGTCGCAGACTCCCACCCAAGATCAGGACACTTACCCAGGGAAATTTTCTCCCCAGAATCTGCAGGGAGCAAGAAGACAAGGAGGGCCAGTGCAGAGATGAGCACACAGGGGATGAGCAGGTTGAGGCCATAGTAGAGTGTCCTGCGGCGAATGGTCACTGTGAAGGTGACGTCTGGGTACGGCTCTTTGCAACACTCATAGAACTTCTCACTCCGCTTGCCTGGGATTCCTCCATGAGCAGGGGGTAGGAAGGAACCATTGTCTGAATAAAATTACCCTGCTTGTTTATTTTAATGAGCATATCACACAAACGACCATGGGGTTTGTTGAGTGCTAAAAACCTGGATAATCAGTGTTTGAATAAACTCTTTCTGGTTTATTAGAGTTGTATAGTAATATCTTAGTGATATTGGAGCAAATGGGGAGAAACTTTTTAATGGATTAGAATTAGATGTGGTATATAGTGGATGTTTGTGTCCCCACAATATTTATATGTTGAAATGCTAACTCCCATAGTGATGATATTTGGAGATAGGGCCTTTAAGGGGAGCAGAGTTCTCATGCATGGAATGATTGCCCTTATAAAAGAGACCCAGACAACTCCTTTGTCTTCTCTGCTATGTAAGAACACAGCAAGAAGATAGCTATCTATGAACCAGAAAGCAAGCTCTCAGCAGACACCATATCTGCCAGTGCCTTGATCTTGAACTTCTAGCCTCCACAACTGTGAGAAATAAATTTCTGTTGTTTATAAGCCACCTAGTCTATGGTACTCCATTATAGCAGCCTGAAGGGACTAAGACACCAGGATTATAAACAATACATTATAATCTTTACACCATTATAAATGTAATTATTGTTTTTCTGTTTAAAATCATCAAATATAGTATCCCATGAATTGCAATTTACTGTCCAGCCTGATTTTAGGAATGGAGCAGAATCTAATAATATAGTGATGCCTATACTAGCACTGACTTGTTTAAATAACTACACACTTGTCATGGAAAGCACTGAATCTTCTAATTGTTTTTTGTTTCTCATTGTATAGCTCTCAGTAAATTATAGAGATTGCTGCAGGGTTCAATAAATGCTCACACTGACAAGCACAGTGGAAAATCCCAAACTTTTAAAGCCAGTACAGGAATAAAGTGGCTTTCTACAAGGATTCTGGTCTTATGTCTTTGCTAGACTTACCCACAAGGTCCCATTCTCCATTTGGGATATAACCACTGATATCTGCCTCTTGCATCTGTAGATCCAAGGACCACCCTCCATAAGACCAGGACCCAAACTTGAGTTTGCACTGCTGCACATCAAAGGGGAACCAGCGCACATCAATGTAGCAGGAGCTCTTGAATATGCCTATGTGGGCAATGAAAACAGTCAGAAAAACCAAAATGGAAGGTGACTGAGCTGTGCTTTAAATACACAGCTGGTGGGAATGTAATTGGTGCAGTCATTATGAAAACAGTATGGAGAGTCCTAAAAAAAATAAATAAATAAAAAGTAGAACTACTATATGGTCCAGTGATCCAACTTCTGGGTATATATCTGAAGGAAATAAAATCATTATCTGGAAGAGATATCTTCACTCCCATATTCATTGTGTTCACTGCAGCATTATTTGCAATAGCCAAGACATAGAATCAACCTAAGTGTTCATTAATGGATGAATGAATAAAGAAAAAGATTATAAAATCTCTCTCTCTCCTCTCTTTTTCTCTCTCACTAGATAGTACTATTCAGTCTTAAAAAAAAGATGGAAATTTCACCATTTGCAATAACATGGATGAAGCTGGAGAGTATTATGCTAAGTGAAATAAGCCAGACAAAGACAAATACTATATGATCTCATGTGTAGATTTTGAAAAAAAAATGAAACAATTGAACTCACAGAACTATTGAGTTGACAGGGTCTGGGAGAGGTGGGGAAATGGAGAGGGGTTGGTCAAAGGGGCAATCTTTCAGTTAAAAGATGAGTAAGTTCTAAGGCTCTTAATGTACTACATGGTGACTCTAGTTAAAAATATTGTATACTTGAAATTTGCTGAGAGAGGAACTTAAACATTCTCTTGGAAAACAAAATAAAACCAAACCCAGCCATGTGAGGTGATAGATATGTTAACTTGATTGTGGAAATAATTTTACAATGTACATTAAGTCATCATGTTGTACACCTCATTACATTTTCATTTGCCCACTGTACTTCAATAAAGCTGGAAAATTTTAAAATAAACATAATACATTTTAAAATATAAAAAACATAGGGGCACCTGGGTGGTTCAGTCGGTTAAGTGTCTGACTTCAGCTCAGGTCATGATCTCGCGGTTCCTGAGTTCGAATCCTGTGTTAGGCTCTGTGCTGACAGCTCAGAGCCTGGAGCCCATTTCAGATTCTGTGTCTCCCTCTATCTCTGCCCCTCCCCCCTCACAGTCTCTCTCTTCTTCAAAAATAAACATTTAAAAATTTAAAATATATATTTAAAAATTTAAATATAAATACATATATACATACATACAAAGCAATCCCTTGGTTTCTATCCTCATATGCTGTGCATAATATGCAGCGCCTAGTCTTCATTGCCTGAGAAAGGGCTGGTGAGTTAAACTATACATTTCTGTGTCTATGTGTGCTTGTGTGTCTTTTTTGGTGGAGGACAGCATGAACATTTTCCTTAGGTTAAAAAATGAGAAAATACTTGGTTTTCTAGAAATATATGTGGGGGATAATTTTAACTAGTTTACATTCTAGAGTAAGGACAGAACAAAGACTGGTAAATTTAAGTTGAAGATTCAGTGCTTGAGGGCAAGTGAGAGTTTCCACTGAAAGGAGTAATTCCAGGTTAAGGCAAGTTGGGAGTGAATTTCTGGCCACATCACAGAGAGGAAACCAGATAAACCCTTCCAGCAATTTATGTCCATGTGTTCCTCCCTGCCCAGAAAAAGGCTGGAAGGCAAGAGAAGGCACAAAGAGCTAACTAAGGGTGCCTCCATTCCTGGGGAGTCACCTCTGTACATTTTTGCTACTAAATTTTAAAAAGCCTGGGTGGCTCAGTGGGTTAAGTATCTGACATTGGCTCAGGTCATGATCTCATGGTTCCTGGTTTGGAGCCCCGTGTTAGGCTCTGTGCTGACAGCCAGTTCAGAACCTGGACCCTGTTTCAGATTCTGTGTCTCCTCTCTCTGACGGTCCCCTGCTCATGCTCTCTCTCTCAGAAATAAATAAAACATTAATTTTTTTTAAATAAAATGAATGAATGGAGGTGGCACGTGGGTGGCTCAGTTGGTTAAGCGTTTGATGTCAACTCAGGTCATGATCTCCCAGTTAGTGAGTTCGAGCCCTGCTCACAGCCCAGAGCCAGGAGCCTGATTCAGATTCTGTGTCTCCCTCTCTCTCTGCCCCTCCTCTGCTCATGCTCTGTCTCTCTCTCTCTATCAAAAATAAATAAACATTAAGTTAAATGTTATTAAATTTATTCCTTTTTAATTTAAAAAAGTGAATGGAGGAAGGGATGTAACAGCCTTGCAAACACCAACCCTCACCCACAACCAAGTCAGGAAAGGATAATAACTTCCTGTCCCCTCAAGTTCCTTTAAGTATGATGTTCAGTGTTACACCCAATGTTCATGGGCGTCTGGAAATCATTACAGACACTGCCCTCCCACTAATGCACTAGATCCTCTCAAACCTATGTTGCCTGTAGAAAATGTAACTCTGTAACTGAATTATTCCATTTCTATGAAATAGCCAGAGAAAGAGAATCTCCAGAGACAGAATTTAGATCAATGGTGGCCTGAAACTGGCAGTAAGGATGGGATTAACTGCAGATCAGCAAAAAGGATCTTTTCGGGGTGATAAAAATGTTCTAGGAGTGCCTGAGTGGCTTAGTCAGTTAAGCGTCTGACTCTTGGTTACGGCTCAGGTCATGATTTCATGGTTGGTAAGAGAGAGCCTCATATTGGCTCTACACACTGATAGCATGGGGCCTGCGTGGGATTGTCTTTCTCCCTCTCTCTCTGCCCGTCCCTTGCTTGCACTTTTGCTCTCAAAATAAATACACTTAAAAAAAGTCCTAACACAGCAACATGCAGAAGAATGAAACTAGATCATTTTCTCACACCATGCACAAAAATCAATTCAAAATGGATAAAGGACCTGAACGTGAGACAGGAAACTATCAACACCCTAGAGGAGAAAGCAGGAAACAACCTCCTTGACCTCCACCGCAGCAACTTCTTACTTGACACATCCCAAAAAGCAAGGGAATTGAGAGCAAAAATAAACTGTTGGGACCTCATCAAGATTAAAAGCTTCTGCACAGCAAAGGAAACAACCCAGAAAATTAATAGGCAACCAACGGAATGGGAAAAGATAGTTGCAAATGACATATCAGATAAAGGGTTAATATCCAGAATCTATAAGGAACTCACCAAACTCCACGCCCGAAAAACAAACAACCCAGTGAAGAAATGGGCAGAAGACATGAACAGACACTTCTCCAAAGAGGACACCCAGATGGCCAACAGACACATGAAACGATGCTCAGCATCCCTCCTCATCAGGGAAATACAAATCAAAACCACACTGAGATACCACCTCATGCCAGTCAGAGTGGCTAAAATGAGCAAATCAGAGAACTCTAGATGCTGGCGAGGATGTGGAGAAACGGGCACCCTCCTGCACTGTTGGTGGGAATGTAAACTGGTACAGCCCCTCTGGAAAACAGTGTGGAGGTTCCTCAGGAAACTAACAATAGAACTCCCCTATGACCCAGCAATAGCACTGCTAGGAATTTACCCAAGGGATACAGAAATGCTGAGGCATAGGAGCACATGTACCCCAATGTTCATAGCAGCACTCTCCACAATAGCTAAAACATGGAAAGAGCCTAAGTGTCCATCAACAGACGAATGGATCAAGAAGATGTGGTTTATCTATACCATGGAATACTACATGGCAATGAGAAACAATGAAATCTGGCCATGTGTAGCAACATGGATGGACCTTGAGGGTGTTATGCTGAGCGAAATAAGTCAGGCAGAGAAGGACAAATACCATATGTTTGCACGTATAGGAGGATTAGGAGGAACTTGACGGAGGACCAAGGGGGAGAAGAAGGGCGGAAATGGTGGGGGAAAGGGAGAGAGGCAAACCATGAGAGACTCTTGAATGCTGACAAAAACTGAGGACTGATGGATGTGGGGGGGAGGGGGGGATGGGCATGAAGGAGGGCACTTTGGGGATGAGCACTGAGTGTTATGTAGAAACTAATTTGACAATAAACTATTTGTAAAAAAAAAAAAAAGTCCTAACACTAGATTGTGGCAATGGTTGTACAACTCTATGAATTCACTAAAAATCACTGAATCATGCATTTAAAATCAGTGTATTGTATGATATGTAAATTAGAGTTCAGTAAAGCTGTTATAAAAATATGAAAGAGAAAAGAAGGTAATTTCACAACCAAGCCTCTATTTCAAATCGTGCACCTAAAACATTTTTTTTGCCTGTGCTTAGTTGCATGAACAGAACAACACCCCATATCTGTTCTACATGACCCCAGGGCATAGACTTTCTGCCCCAGGCCAGAAAGCTCCAAACTGCTCCTGCCAATGTAGGGGAGACTCCCACATTCACAGCACAACATGCCTGTCCCTACCAGGCGCCTGGGGCCATGGAGGTTGGGACACAGGAATGAAGCCCCAGAGGGGGCTACTGCACATAGGCAGCTTGGGGCTCAGGAGTGCTGCTTCTTGTAGCTGAAAATAGCTTCAGCCTTCAAAACAATCTGTAGCACCATATTCTTGTATACTGATGACTACTGGAGATCGTTTTTTAAAATAGCCCTTGTAATAGAAGCTGCAACTCAAAGGCTGGTGAAAAAAGAATGTGCATGTGATGGAAAGCTCATCCCACAGCCTCAGTCCCCAAGGGGCCTACTGTTAAGTGAAAACCCTGCTTGGGCCAGGTGAGGGGTGAAGGAACTGGGGAAAGTAACATAGAAGCACATACTTTAAGATAGAAAACCTGAAGATCTTTAGCTATTCAGTCTATACAAACATTATTGGGAGTTACCTGCCTTTGATAGGCTTAATCATGCACACATTCATTTATGGACAGGTGGGCCAGGCACCTGGTTGATTACTGGTTGTTCTAAGGTGTATAAACATGGAATCTGACCATGAGATGCTTATCTTCCGCTAATGAGGAAGAGCATGTAAGCAGCAACTCAGGAGGCAAGGCCAGTTTTGCTGTGCTGTGAAATCAATCAGAAGGTATACGTGTGATGTATAGTGTGTGTGTTATGTGGGGGTGTGTGGTTGGTGTGTGGATATGTGTGAGAGAGGTATGTATGTGGGAATGTGGGGTTTATGGTATGTCTGTGGGGTATAATGTGTGTGTGTGTGTGTGTGTGTGTGTTGTGGGGGCATGGTAGGTGTGTGGGTGTGGTGTGGTGTGTGTGTGGGGGGGCTGGTGTGGTGGGTACATGTGTATGGGGGGAAGTATGTATGTGGGAAGTATATGTGGTGTTTGTGCTGTGTAATATGTGTATGTATGTGGTATGCAGGGGGTGGTAGGTGTGTGGATATGGTATGGTGTATATCTGTGTGTGTGTGTGTGTGTGTGTGTGGTATAGTGTAGTGTGTGTCTGTGGAGTGGCTGTGGTGTGTTGTATGAATGTGTTTTGAGAAGGTATGTATGTGGGGTGTGTATGTGTGATGAGTGTGGTGTGTAGTGTATGTGCATGTGTGTGTGTTTGTGGTGTGTGTGGGGTAGTAGGTGTGTGGATATGATATAGTGTGTGTAGGTGTGTGTGTGTATGTGAGAGGTGGTAGGTGTGTGGATATGCTGTGGTGTATGTATGGGGGGAGGTATGTATGTGAGATTTATTTGTGGTATGTGTGGTGTATAATGTATATTGTGTATGTGGTGTGCAGGGGATGGTAGGTGTGTGGGTATGGTGTGGGGTGTGTGTGTGTGTGTGTGTGTGTGTGTGTGTGTGTGTGTGTTGGTGGTGAGGTGGGAGGTGGTTGCAGATTGCCTAGGAGCAGGAAGTTAAATAGTTGCAGTGGGGGAGATAATCCTGGAAAAGAACATGTAAAAATTCATCTCAAAGATTTTTAAAATTCTGTTAATGCCTCAAAGCACTAAAACCCAGATTCCCTGTGCTCTATATTATTCAGTGAACAGCCAGGGCCCAGTGAATTGACAGAAATGATGGGCTGGTGGGAAAAAAAATCAATCTCAGGAAGCAGTTAACCATCAATTGGTTGGGAAAGAGAAGAGCAGCTCAGTTAGGAATGAGTCACTGATGAGTCCTGCTTTGAAATCACTTGCCAGTTATTTCCAACACACAAGTGCTCTTGAACACACACACACTCAAGAAGCCAGCAAGCCCACCATCCTTCCCCAACACCTGGAAAGCAGCACCTGCCAAGATTTGCAGTCTAATGGGAGAGGAAATGGCAAGCTGAAACATGGGTGGAGGGAATGGCCGGGGTGTTTGGCTTGCAGGTTGTAAGGAGAACTGGAAATGACTTGACAAGGTGGACTTGTTTTCACTGTGGGTTAACTTTAAAGAACACAAGGCACCCAATAAGGGCATGCCACTGAAGACAGGTTGAGCCATGACCCAGTGACAAAAAAGGGAAAGATGGCATCATCATGTTCAGGAAATATGTGCAAGTACACATGAAAGAAAGCAGGAAGGGGTGAGAGTGAATGAGGCAAAAGATGCCCACCACTTGCATGAGCAACCATCGAGACTGGCACCCCAAACTCACCAAAATTGTCTGAGGAAGTAGATCTTACCTGGAGGGAGGTACTGGCAATGCCCAGAAGAATTAACTAACACATTGGTGTGGAATGTGGCATCAAATCGCTCATCAGCACTAGAAACACAAAAAGGATTTCATGAGTCAACACAGCCAGCCAGTGGATCTCCCGTGCCCTTAGGCCTGTCATGACTGCAGCTGGAATAGCTCTGACAGATGCTACTATTTGTGCTTGGAACATGATGACACCATTCACAGCTGGCTTGGGAGATCTCAGAGCAGAGGTTCGTAGAAGCCAATGTCCACCACCACCCCCTCATTTCATATGAACTGTGATTTTCATATGTACATAAAACAAAGTTCTTAGCAGAAGTTAATCCTGAAGACAATTTCATAGGACATGAGCAGATGAGAAATTTCTGTCTATCTGTAGGGTGGAAGCTCTCTGCCACTGAGAGCCCCATGCAGGCATGGATTTTGATTCACTGTACTCAAAGCTCCAGTCCCAGTCTCCTGAATGCACCCAATGCTTGGCTGATGCTTATTCTATACATCATGAATGACTAAAGCTATAAGCTCAGGAAGTTGCTGGGCACAGGCAGAGCCCAGAGACATTCTGAGCTCCATGATTAGCAATGACCATAAGGCGGGCAAGTGAAAAGAGAAGAATTAGGTACAAGTTTTAGACAGATGCTCCCCAGCCCCCTCCCTGCCCATGTTCAGAACCTCCTGCAGATAGGAGTTACCAAATTCTATAAAGGGAATGGGAGGAAGACACAAAACAGGAAGAAAGAACAATTAAAGCCAACAGCCCTTATTATTCATGTCTTTAATTTTCTGTATTCTGATGCTTTGCTGACCCTGGATGAACTATGTCCCCCTTACAGTCCCAGGTTAGCCAGTTCCCAGAGATAGCAGACAACTTGCTCACCAGTGCATGTCTCAAATGCAAACCACCCCAGCCACCTCCTATATCAGGGTTTCATATTCCAGGCCTCCTTCCCTCTGCCCTATTAACCCAAGGGCCAGGTACCACACAGCTAGGGACAGCTTGTATCATCCAGAGCCCACTGAAATTATTCACACTGGACAATCTTAACTCTGCTCACCCTGCCTCACCAGTTCCATTCCAAGGAAACCACAATAAAGGCTCTTGCCCATGTTTCCCCTTCACTCCCTCTGCCTCCTGACCCACCCCGGTGCTTTCCTGTGTGGGTTTGCATGGTGTGCTCTGCCTCTGGTTTCTAGGGAACTGTGAGTAAAAACTGCTTCCTTCATGACAGCTACTTCTGTGTCTGAATCTCTTAGCATACCTCATTAAAACAAATCCTGGACATCCTTAAATAAAAAGAAACAGAACTCCCTCAAGAAAATATAGGCAGCCATCAAGATGTTAGCACCACGAAGTTAAGTTCCTCTCTTTTAGCAACTGGGGGACCTGTAGTAAGGCCTACATACTTCTGCAGAGCCTGGGACAGCCTTTTCTTAACCTGAGGTCCTCTGAAAGGGAAACTGAGTCATGAGATATTTGAGGACAGCACTCAGCATGAGAGACACAATTTTTTTTATTTTTTAAAAAATGTTTTATTTGTTTTTGAGAGAGAGATAGAGACAGTGTGAGCAGGGGAGGGTCAGAGAGAGAGGGAGACACAGAATCAGAAGACAGTCTCCAGGCTCTGAGCTAACCGTCAGCACAGAGCCCAATGTGGGGCTCTAACCCATGAACTGTGAGATCATGACCTGAACTGAAGTCGGACGGTCAACTGACTGAGCCACCCAGGCACCCTGAGAGACACAATTAAAGACACAAAAGATCTAAGGAGAAGTCAATGAAAGGAACAAAAAAAAATTGCTCCTTAAAAAAGTAATAGCCTCACAGAAATTCAAGAGGATACTGCATTAGTAAAACAGAACAATATGAAAATTAAATTTTGACTTACAAACTAAATGCTTATAGATGGGTGTGAGGTCTGCCTGATAAAAATCACAAAGATGAAATGTGGGACAGAGATGATGATGGCCTCCAGAGTACAAGGCCAGGAGAACTCACTCAACAGATGCTGGAGAAACAGTAGGGGTAATGGGTGGGAGGGAAGAGCCAAAGGAATCACCCAGAGAAATTCTAGAGCTGAAAGAAACCAGTCAAGCATGAAGGCAAAGAGAGGCACTTTGAAGAATGGAAAAGCCTTACAGAGCTTATGTCCCACACGTAGTTCCTTGGTGTTAGACTTGAGGATGAGCTCTAGGAAAATAAGGGTGAATACTGAAAAAGAAGAAATAAACTTCTGGACTAAAACTGGGTATCGGGGCACCTGGGTGACTGAGTCAGTTAAGTGTCCGACTCTGGATTTCAGCTCAGGGCCTGATATCATTCCTCAAGATTGAGCACCCGCATGAGGCTGTATGCTGACAAAGTGGAGCCTGCTTGGGATTCTCTCACTCCCTCTCTCTGCCCATCACCTGCTCCTGTGCATGAGCTCTCTCTCTCTCTCTCAAAATAAATAAATAAACATTTAAATAACTAAATAAATAAATTAGGGTACCTGGGTGGCTTAGTTGGTTGACTGTATGACCTCAGCTCCGGTCATGATCTCATGGTTCGGGTGTTCAGGCTCTGCATTGGGCTCTGTGCTGACAGCTCAAAGCCTGGACCCTGTTTCAGATTCTGTGTCTCCCTCTCTCTCTGCTCCTTCCCTGCTCATTCTCTCTCTCTCTCTCAAAAATAAACATTTATTGTTTTTAAATAAAAATTTATAAATACATACATACATACATAAAACTAGGGATCAAGAAAATAGGGGCGCCTGGGTGGCTTAGTCGGTTAAGCGTCCGACTTTCGCTTAGGTCATGGTCTCGCGGTTCGTGGGTTAGAGCCCCGCGTCGGGCTCTGTGCTGACTGCCAGCTCAGAGCCTGGAGCCTGTTTCAGAGTCTGTGTCTCCCTCTCTCTCTGACCCTCCCCTGCTCACGCTGTCTCTCTCTCTCTCTCTCTCTCTCCTAGAAATAAATAAAAAATATTTAAAAAAAAAAGTTAAAAAAAAAAAAGAAAATGGATTTCCATGATGAGCTGTGCAGTGAGCCTGGAAAAAGCAGGGATGGGGTGTTTTTCCACATTACAGCAAGATATGAGGTGTCTGAGGAGACTGAGGTAGATTCAGAGCAATGTATGGAAGAAATAAGTTGGAAAACACCACAGATTCCATAAAAGATACATTTTAAAAAATTACTGTAATAAGAAAAAGAAATGTCAACCAGAAACTTTGGGGAAAAAACTACAAAAAAAAGTCAGAGTTTGAGTATGAAACAAAAATGTGATGATGTGGAGAGGAAGAAGGAAGAGAGAGACTAAGCCACTGCAAAAGGATAATCCTTTGAGATGAAGGACACTCCCACGCCCTTAACTCTGAGCACACACAGGGAGAAGGAGGAGGGGGTAGTATCAAATATTCTTTGCTTAACTATGGTTTGTACCCAACTGTCTCAATGAATCACATGATAAACAGACACTGGATACAAAATAGCTGAAAATGTGGACCTTCACAAAATAACTCTAGATCGTACCATGATTTTCCAACTGGGTTATCTGGAACTGTGAAATTCTGTGGATATGTTTTGGAGTTTCTGTAAATGTTGATTCCAACATCTCATTTCCCTGTATTATAAAATGCTAATAAAAGTCCAAACACACTCAAATGGCTTTTACAAAATTTTAACTTTTCAGACTAGACTACCAGTGGATTAATACAGGTGGCCCATTTAACTCTTTTGGTGGAAGTTTAAGCTAAAAGTTATCTTGCCATGACTGTGCTGTATTTATAGACTTCTTGTGAATGAGTTACCAAGTAAGATTTCAGTTTTGCATTGCTCTTTTTAAAACTTCACATTTGGCCTACACTTCCAGCTCAAAACAAGCACATGTTCCCACCTATGTAGCTACAACTGAAAGCATCATGTGATGCATCACAGAGGACACATAGTTTTGCTTATTTTAAGCTTGGGTGTCTTCTTGTCTGATTGTTATATTTATAACAAAGACTGTGAGCATCTGTGTTAGCTCAGTAACTCAATTCTGGAGGGAAAAATAAATAATCCCTCCAAGCTCTTCCTCCATACATTTGGATCAATTTAATTGCAGACTCTTGAGATCACAAGACAACTGAGTAAAATCAAGATAAAAATCTGTTTCCATTAGCAACAGTTCACCTGTGTGACTCACTAATTTCTAAATATAGTTCAACCAAAACAGAATATTGAGACAAACAGAATTGTAACTCTGTCATCATTATCAAAATTCAAATCTTCATATTCATTTTGGCAGTTTTAGAGTTCTTTTCCATTTTCTATATAAATGATATAAAAGTAAACTCCTGTAATAACTGTATGCTAATACCACTTTATCTGGTTTGGCCATGAACAGTGGAGATGAAGTTTGTTTGAAAAAGGGCCCTAATGCTAAAACTTGAGTCTGGAAACAGCTCTTCAAGGCAGGGGATGAAGTCCCTGTGAAACAAGAGTAGCCGAAACCACTGCAGTAACATGGAAGGTGACAGTATCAGTGCTGTTTGGCTCCTGGCCCAACACTATGTGCATTCACTAATGTACAACAGGGGCCAGCAGATAGTGACCATGAGGCCATGCAATAACACAGCCTTGCAGCCAGCACACACTGATAACCATGGGGGTCGAGATGGATCCAGAGACTCAGTTCATTCCTCTTCCTGCTCTGTTGTGCATGTGAACCTTTCTGCATTAAACAGTTTGAATATATATACTGTTTATGTACTTAAAACATGATGTACTCACAGAGTTCTTGACAACTTAGGCCCCTGGTCCCTTCAGTCCCTTTGAGGGCTCCTCTCTCCAGCTGCCTGGATCCTTGTCTAGCCAGCGAAGGACGGACAGGCTCCCACCCCCGCCATTAATGGGGCAACAAGGTCAATGGGCCTTAGTCACTTAAAAGTGACCATAGAGAGGAGGGATACTTAGCCCAGTTATTCAGGGCCCAGGCCTTATGTCCTTAGTGGGGTGGTCAGGAAGAAAGGGCATCTGGATAGGCTCTAAACATGGGCAGAACTCCAGGAGGTGGAAAGGAAGTTGCTACATCCCCCACAGAAGGCAC